CGGGCGCCTGTAGTCAGCTACTCGGGAGGCTGAGGCAGGAGAATGCGATGAACCTGGTGAGGTGAGCGTGCAGTGAGCCGAGATCCACGCCACTGCACTCGAGCACTCCAGCCTGGGTGACACAGCGAGACCTCCGTCTCAAAAAACAAAAAAAAAATTGTTACAAGAGACAAGGAAAAAGGGAGACATTATATACTCATGAAACAGTCAATTCATCAAGATACAACAATTATAAACAAACAAACAACAGTGCTCCAAAACATATGAACAAAACTGACAGAATTGAAGGGAGAAATAGACAATTCAACAATGGATAGGCCAGGCACAGTATCTCACATCTGTAATCCCTGCACTTCGGGAAGCTGAGGCAGGTGGATCTCTTGATACCAGGAGTTTGAGACCAGCCTGGGGGTAATATGGCAAAAACCCATCTCTACAAAAATACAGAAAATTAGCTGCTATGGTAGGGCACCACTGTAATCTCAGGATGCTCAGGAGAGTGAGGCAGGAGGGTCACTGGAGCTCTGGCAGTTGAGGGTGCAGTGAGCCATGATTGTGCCACGGCATTTAGCCTGGGCACAGAGTGAGACTCTGTCTCAAACAAAATAAAACAAAACAAAAACAAAAATAATAGTTGGGGAGTCAATATCCCATCTTTTAATCACCGATAGAAAAATTAGAAGATCAGCAAAGGAAAGAGAAGACCTGAATGGCACTACAAATGAACTGGCCCTAACACAGATAATAAAGTATGCCACCCAATGATACATCAGAATACAAGTTATTCTCAAGTGCATATTGAACATTTTCCAGGATAGACTGTGTTGGCACAAAATACACTCAATAAATTAAGAGAATGAATCATTACAAAGATCTTCTCTGATCACATGAAATCAGAAATCAGAAGCAGAAGGAAATTAGAAAATTCACAATATGTTGGAAATTAATTACCCTTAAATAACCAATGTGTCAAAAATAAATAACAAGGTGAGTAATTAGAAAGTAAACTAGAAAAAGAGGCCAGGCGCAGTGGTTCACGCCTGTAATCCCAGCATGTTGGGAGCCAAGGCGGGTGAATCACCTAAGGTTAGGAGTTCAAGGCCAGCCTGGCCAACATGGAGAAACCCCGTCTCTATTAAAATTACAAAAATGACCCAGGCGTAGTGTCATGCGCCTGTGATCCCAGCTACTCGGGAGGCTGAGGTAGGAGAATTGCTTGAATCTGGGAGGCAGAGGTTGTAGTGAGCCAAGACTGCACCATTGCACTCCAGCCTGGGTGACAAGAGCTAAATTCCATCTCAAAAAAAAAAAAAAAAAAAGAAAGGAAGAAAGAAACTGGAAAATGAAAAGCAAACTAGACTTAAAGCTAACTAACAGAACCAAGGAAAAAATAAGGATTAAAGTGGAGATAAACAAAATGGAGACTAAAAGAACAACAGAGAGAATCTGTTGGTTCTTTGAAGAGATCAACAAAATTGACAAACTGTTAGACTGACCAAGAAAAAAAAGAGAGAAGACTCAAATGACTGAAGTCAGGGACAACAGTGTGGACTTTTACTAACAACCTTACAAAAGTCAAATGGATTATACAAGAATACCATGAACAATTCTATGCAAGAAATTAGATAAACTACATAAAATGAACAAATTTCTAGAAAGACCAAACTACTAAAATGGACTCAAGAAGAAACAGGAAATCTGAATAGACCTATAACAACTAAAGAGACTGAATTAGTAACCAAAAAACTTCCAACAAAGAAAAGCCCAGGGCCAGACTGCTTCACTGGTGAATTTTACCAAACTTTTAAAGAATTAACACCAATCCTCAAATTCTTCCCAAAAAAAGGAGAGGAGAGAATACTTCCTTACCCACTTTGTGGGGCCACTATTACCCTAATACTAAAGCCAAAGGAAGATATCACAAGAAAACTACAGATCAATCAACATCCCTTATGAATACAGATGCAAAAACTATCAACAAAATACTTGCAAACCAAATCCAACAGCATGTTAAAAAGATCATACACTTTGATCATGTGAAATTTATTCCAGGAATGCAAGGTAATTCAATCCACAAATATAACATATAAATAAAGTGAAAGAAAAAATCGGGCTGGGCACTGTGGCTCACACCTGCAATCCCAGCACCTTGGGAGGCAGAGGCGGGTGGATCACGAGGCCAGGAGTTCGAGACCAGCCTGGCCAACATAGCAAAACTCTGTCTCTACTAAAATACAAAAATTAGCAGGGCATGGTGGTGCACACCTGTGATCCCAGCTACTTGGGAAGCTAAGGCACAGGAATTGTTTGAACCTGGGAGACAGAAGTTGCAGTGAACTAAGATTGCGCCACTGCACTCCAGCCTGGGCAACAGAGAGACACCCTGTCTCAAAAACAAACACACACAAAAAAACAAAAACCCATATGATCAAATCAATCAATGCAGAAAAAACACTTGACAAAATCTAATACCTTTTCATGAAAAAAAAAAACTAAATAAACTAGGAATAGAGGGAACTTCCTCAACCTCTATAAAAAACCCACAGCTAGCATGACATTTGATGATGAAAGACTGAAAGCTTTCCCCCTACAGTAACAAAACAAGAACATACTTCTTTTTTTTTTTGAGACGGAGTTTCGCTATTGCCCAATCTGTAGTGCAATGGCATGATCTCAGTTCACTGCAACCTCCACCTCCTGGGTTCAAGCAATTCTCAGTCCTCAGCCTACCTAGTAGCTGGGATTACAGGCATGCACCACCACCACACCCAGCTAATTTTTCTATTTTTAGTAGAGACGCGGTTTCACCATGTTGTCCAGGCTGGTCTCGAACTCCTGGCCTTAAGTAATCTGCCTCGGCCTCTCAAAGTGCTGGGATTACAGGTGTGAGACAGTGAGTCCAGCCAAGACACACACTCTTGCCACATTTATTCAACATATATTGGAAGTTTTACTCAAAGCATTTAAGCAAGAAAAAGAAATAAAGGCATCTAAGTGGGAATGGATGAGGTAAAACTATATCTATTTGCAGATGACATGATCTTATACATACAAAACCATAAAAAATCTCCAAAACCTGTTACTGGTAATAAGTTTGGCAAAGTTACAGGATATAAGATCAATATACACTAACAATGAGCAATCCAAAAATAAATTTTTAAAAACATTTCATTTAAATTACCATCAGAAAGAATAAAATACTTAGGAATAAATTTAACCAAGGAAGTGAAAGACTTATACACAGAAAGCTACAAAACATTGTTGAAGTAAATTAAAGATCCAAGTAAATGGAAAGACACCCTGTGTTCATGGGTTGGAAGACAATAGTATTAAGATGGCAATAGTCTCCAAACTGACCTACAGATTCAAATACAATCCCTATCAAAATTACAACTACTGTTTTTGCAGAAATGAACAAGCTAATTCTAAAATCAACATATAATTGCAAGGGATGCTGAATAGCCAAAACAATCCTGAAAAAGAACAAAGAAGGCTCCCACCTCCTAATTTCAAAACTTAGTACAAAGCTATAGTAATCAAAACAATGTGGTACTGGCATAAGGATAACATATAGATCAAGGGAATAGAATTCAGAGTCCAGAAATAAATCTATATATTTACAATCAATTTTTTTTTATTTGATCAACTGGTTTCTAACCGAGGTGCCAAAACCATTAAATGGGGAAAGAAAAGTCTTCAACAAATGGTGCCAGAATAACCTATATCTGCATGCAGCAGAGTAAGAGTGGAGCCCTATCTCATAGTATATATAAACTCAAAATTATTCAGATTTAAACATAAGCATTAAAACTATAATACTGTTAGAAGAAAACATAGAAGAAAATCTTCATGACATTAGATTTGTCAGTATATTGGATATGATACCAAAAGCACAAGCAACAAAATAAAAATAAGTTGGACTTCATAAAAACTTTAAACTTTTGTATATCAAAAGACACTATCAAGAAAGTGAAAAGACCAAACACAGAATAGGAGAAAATATTTGTAAATTATATATCTGATAAGGGTCTAGTATCCACAATATATAAATAATTTTTACAAGTGAACATCAAAAAGACAACTCAGAAAACAGGCAAAGGATCTAAATAGACGTTTCTCCAAAGAACATATGCAAATGGTCAATAAGCACATGAAAAGATACTCAACATCATTAGTCATTAGAGAAATGCATATTAAAACCACAATGAGACACCAATTCATACCCACTAAGAAGGATATAATAATAAAAAATGGAAAATAACAAGGGTTGGCAAGATTGTGGAGATATTGGAACCCTTACACATTGCTGGTTGAAAGAAAATGGTACAGCCACTGTGGCATTTCCTTAAGAAGTTAAACACAAAATTATCATGACTCAGCAATTCCATTCATAGGCATCAAATGAAAACAGGTATTCAAACAAAAACTTGTACAGAAATGGTAAGAGCCGCTATTTATAATAGCCAAAAGGTGGAAAAGACCCAAATGTCCATCAGCTGATGAATGGATAAGCAAAATGTGATCTAACTATACAGTGAAATATTATTCAGCCATGAAAAAGAATGAAGCACTGATACCTATTACTACACAGATAAAACCAGAAAACATCAAGCTAAGTAAAAGAAGCCAATCAAAAAAAGCCACATTTATATGAGCCTGATTATGCAAATTGTTCAGCAGAGGCAAACTCACAGAGACAGAAAGCAGTTAGAGGTCACCAGAGGCCGGGGGAAGGGAGAACTGGGGAAGGCCTGCTTCATGGGTACAGTTTCCTTTTTTGTGTAATGAAAATAGTCTGAAATTAGACAGCAGTTATGGTTGCACAACGTTGTCAATATTCTCAAAACCACTGAAATGTACACTTTAAAATGGTTAAAATGGTAAATCTCATATTATGTACTTTTTTTTTTTGGAGACAGAGTCTCACTCTGTTGCCCAGGCTGGAGTACAGTGGCACGATCCCAGCTCATTGCAACCTCCGCCTCCCAGGGTCAAGTGATTCTCCTGCCTTCTCCTGCCTCAGCCTCCTGAGTGGCTGGGATTACAGGCATGCGCCACCATGCCTGGCTAATTTTTGTATTTTTAGTAGAGATGGGGTTTCACCATGCTGGCCAGGCCAGTCTCGAACTCCTGACCTTGTGACCTGCCCGCCTCGGCCTCCCACAGTGCTGGGATTACAGGCGTGAGCCACCACGCCTGGCCATGTACATTTTATCTCAAGAAAAAAACAAAAAAAGAATCACTAAGGAAGGCGGTAAGAAACAGATTCCCTAGCTCCACCCCTAGAGATTCTGACTCCATAGGTCTGAGGCAAGTCCTCAGGTATGAAGATATTTTTTAAATCTCCACAATAATTCTAATGTACAGCCAGTTTGGAGACCTCCGCTTTAATTAATAAATTCTTGCAAGAGTTTGACCTTCACTCATTCATTGATTAATATTTATTGAAAGCCTTCTATGTGTAGGGCCTATAAGGTACCAGGGAATATAGATGAAAATGAAGAGTCAATTCCTTCGTGGCCTTTACTAAGGGAGAAAGAAAACAAACATAAAATACAATTTGATTTCCAAAAGTTTTCAATGAACATCCGTGTTCCTCATTTCTTTATTCACACCCCCTTGTTGCTAAATCAAGCATCACTCTGTGTCAGCTAATCATTAATATGAGGCAGGTGTTCTCACTAAAGAGGCAAGTCCTCCTTACTGAATACACAGCTCAGGAAAGCCAGTGCCACTGGAAGGTGTCAGTTTGCCACCAGGTTCACACCTCCACAGGCTTCTCTGGAGGGCTAGCACATGAAGACTACCTTTCCAGACTTCAATATGAACAAATGAAAACTCATTAATACCCTTTCAATACTCAAAAGTAGTCACAGACTCACCAGCTCCTGAGCACAAATACGTGCTATAAAAACAGAGATCGGCTTACCTGCGCAAAAGCCAAGTTCAGCACCGTTTCAGAGGCCAAGTACTGTAACCGGTACTCCTTGGAGAGGGCCAAGGCCTGCAGGAGCATGGGCAGCGCGATGGTAGGGGAGGAAGATCGCCAGTACAGCTCTGCCACGGACAGTAGGACACTGACCGTAAAGAGGAAAACACAGGATGAGAAGATCCACCACCATGTCTCCGTGAGATGCACAAGAGACCCCTTACCTGATCACCATTTCTGTGTTCTTCAGTTTCTGACAATGAACCAACAATTTTTGTAAAAGCTTATGTGCCTCTGACATTTGGTTCTGAGCTTGTAATACAACCGCTTTCCTGAAACAGAATCAAAATGAACACAAATGTTTTAACTAGTCACTTTGAGGGTAAGAATCGCTATTTATTCAATTAGATTATAAACCTCCCAAGGGGAAAAACTGTGTCTGATTTAATTTTTGTTGAAAGAATAAAGTGTATGCGTGTATGAATGTGTGTATAAGCATGTATGTGAGCATGCTGTGTATACACACATACATATATGCAGGCAGGAAAAATTCTGGAATTATAAATAACAGCATGTTAATGATTATCTCTGGGAGATACTTATTTTCTTCATTTTACTTGTCTATATTTTCTTTTTTCTTTTTTTTTTTTTATGGAGACAGAGTCTCACTCTGTTGCCCAGGCTGGAGTGCAGTGATGCGATCTTGGTTCACTGCAACCTCCGCCTTGTAGGTTCAAGCAGTTCTCCTCCCTCAGCCTCCCAAGTAGCTGGGATTACAGGTGCCTACCACGCTTCACTAATTTTTTGTATTTTTAGTAGAGACAGGGTTTCACCATGTTGGCCAGGCTGGTCTCAAACTCCTGACCTCAAGTTATGCGCCCACCTCAGCCTCCCAAAGTTCTGGAATTACAGGTGTGAGCCACCACGCCCAGCTGCTTATCTGTATTTTCTTATTCCCAGTAAAAAATAGGAAAAAAAGTTTTTTTCTAAGCTAAAATAAGTTAATGCACATATAAAACAAAAACAAAACCATTTACCAATTATTTTATTCTGGGATTAGATTTTCAAGGTTTCTTACCTATAGACACCCTCTATGCTATTGAGAGCTGTGATTCCTGTAACAAGTGAATCAGCCAAATGATATTTGCCATCATTCATTGCTCTGTCAAACTGTATTTTTTGATCACATAGCATCCATAACTAGTAAGAAAAAAAAAACACAATTAAGTACAAAATGGCAAATGTTCATCTTACTCAATGAATATATAAAAATATTTTGGATTGCTTAGCAAATACCCTTACAATAATTCACTCACATTCTTTTTTGGGGGTATTTAAAATTTTTTAAAAATATCTCAAGTATGTGAAAAAGCACAGAGAATAAAATAGCAGATAGATGTGTGCCAACCATCAACTTTGTCAACTCACATTTTGCTTTATCTGCTTCATATACTATTAGATACCGATGAAGTCCTTTGCAAATTCTACTTCCCTTTCTCTTTTTTCAAAGTAGGCACTCAATTTGGTATTTATCATTCTTATTCATGTTTTTTATACTTTTACAACATATACACTTGTCTTTAAACAACATAGAGTGTGAGCCTGTGTTTTTAAACTTTGTGTAAGTAATATCATACTTGTAAACATCCTTTGACAAGTTCCTTTTTAGCTCAATATTATTTTTCTGAGGGGAGATCATATCCCACTTTATATTATAATAAAAGCTATTATTATCAGAAATAAATCTAATGCCATGCAAAAGGCAGATTACCTGGGCGTGCTGACTATTAGGCGGAAATCGTTCCTTCAAGTGCTTTAACACTTCAGAAGCTGCAGCAAAACAGCCCTAAAGTAGAAAGACACAATTTGATCAGCATAACCTGTGTTGAAGCCACACCTGCTGTACCATGCAAAGAGATTACTGAGGTCGGCCGGGCAGTTTGAGAATCAACCTGACCAACATGCGTGAATATCCTGTCTCTAAACCTAACCAAACATACACAAATTGACGCCTGACAATGGATGCCAGCCCACTCTGCCTGTAGCGGCCCCCGCTTACGTTGCGGAAAGGCTGAAGGCAGGAGAATACCGCTTGACTGGGGAGGCAGAGGTTGTCAGTGAGCCCGAGAGTTCCTCGCCAATTGCAGGGCCCCGCCTAAGCGAAAGCAGAGTGAGACTGTCTCAAAAAAAAAAAAACCAAAACAAATCAATAAAAACAACAACAGACGCCGGGCGCGGGTGGCTCAACCGCCTGTAATCCCCCCAGCACTTTGTGGCGACGGCACCCGACGCGGCTGGGCGGGATCACGAGGTCAGGAGATCGAGAACCATCCTGGCGTAACCAACACGGTGGACACCCAGTCTCCTAACTAAAAATGCCAAAAGAATTACCGGGCGACGGCGGGCGGGCGCACTGGGTAGTCCACAGCTACCTCGGTGAGGCCCTGAGGCAGGAGAGAATCGGCCGTGAACCCGGGAGGGCGGAGCTTGCAGTGAGCCGAGATCCGCGCCAATTCCGGCCATTGCACTCCAGCCCTGGGGGCGCACTAGCCGAGCACTCGCCTGTCTCAAGAATAAAAAACAAGAGACAGAGACAAAAAAACAACAACAACAACCAACGCAAACAACAAAAAACCAAAAGTAAGCTTGTGCAGCTGGCAGCATTGGGCTCATGCCTGGTGAGTGGCGCCCAGCACTTGAGCGAGGCTCGAGGTGGGTGATTGCTGGCGGCCGGGAGTCATCCGCCAGACCAGCACTGGCCAGAGAACATGGCCAAAACCCGACTGCCTCTATTCCAAAAGTCGCAAAAATCGTGCCCCCGGCCCCCCGCGGCGGCGCCGCCCGCCGGGGCTCATAGCTGTAAATCCAGCACTCTCCCCCGCGGTGTTGGCAGGGCCCACCGAAGGCGGGTGGATCACCCGAGGCTCCACGGCCAAGATCGAGACTATCCCTCGGCTCAAACATGGGTGAACGACCCCCCC